ATCTTGAAGGTAAACAGAAAAAAAGGAAGGCCAAATTATACACAACATCGAGAATTGGAACCAAACATGAAAAGAATGAATAGCAACTGGAAAGTATTGTCCAGACAGCGTTCGATGGAGAACACTGGTGGGTGGCCTATACTACTTCATAAGGAGTAACAGGCGTAAGTAAGTAAGTAAGTAAGTGTTGAAGTAAGTAAGTAAATAAGTAAGTAAGTAAGTAAGTAAGTAAGTAAGTAAGGAAGGAAGGAAGGAAGGAAGGAAGGAAGGAAGTATGCTGATGAACAAACTTGTTTATCCCATTCATCATCTTATATAAATATGATTGCACAGTCTTTGAAAGTGAAATTGTTGAAACGAAATAAAAATACTTAATTGTGTCACATTTCAAATGATATGAATTAGCTGAATTGATGAATGATTTCTATAATAGAATCAATTCAATTATTCTGTATATCAGTATGAGGTTGTAGAGGCTATTAAGTTTCTGATTGATATCATCAACCGATTGATGTGAGATCACCATCGAAAACCTGGAAACACTGGTTAGCTGTTTCGTCCTATTATGGTACTCCTCAGCAGTGTGCAACCTTACTCCTGGTGGATATGCACTGATGAGGAGTCCAATAATATAATGAAACTGATGTTCAGTACTTCCACATGTTCTGTATAGTATATTGTGATTTGTTATTCATAAACTTTGCTTACATTTATTAAAAGAATTGATTACATCAACATACTTTGAAAATTGCTAAAGGTTACTTAAACATAATTATGACTAACTAGAATGTTATTGACTGAAGAAGAAGAAGAAGAAGAAGAAGAAGAAGAAAAATAGTTGTTTTCATTTAAATACCTCTAACCTTTTATGATTGATGTATTGCTTTAATTAATAACTGACTAGTAATAAATGTCAGATTGTCTAACTTTGATTACTGGCTGAATAAGATCGATTATTGTGTATTATACATGACTGAATATCATATATTGGATATTTCTGAGGGGATAAAAAATGCCTAAGTTATTGAAGTAACAACAAATAACTATAATCCACGGATTATATCTGCTTTATTCTTTATAAGCAAACATAGATAGTGGTTAGCAGTGGAATATGGGATGCGCGTTTCGTCTTATTTGAGACTCGTCAGCTGGACGTACATACATCTCAGAGTTAATGTTCACTCTGGGAGTCGAACTCAGTATCGTTCGCTTCAAACACCATCGCAATATCCACTTAGCTACTGAGTCCTGATAGCCACTTGCTTGTGCAATGGATTGATGTTTTAAGTTCACTTGATATTGTTTGTTTGAATCTTCTCACTGATGTTTAGGTCTGGAATAGAATGAAACGAGCGTCCTGGATTCCACTGCTAGCCATTTTCCATCTTTACTTCGAATGCTTGTGAATTAAGGCAATATCAAGGCAATGCACACAGTATTCACATATGTCAATGCCAGACTGGTCAATTCCAGTTCTAAACAACAATGAGAAGATTCAAGTAAACAATACCAAGTGAATTTATTTTATTTCCTGTAATGCTATAATGGTGAATAGCTTATTACATTTTATATAGATTCCAATTTATTCTATTTTTAAGATCAGTGATCAGTTCATATATTAATTCCAATCTTTTACAAAAATCTAACACTATGACAACTCATTCACTCAAACAGATCCTTTCACTAACTAGTAAGCATCGATATGATATTTCGAAACGTGTTCCTATTTAATGGTAAACGCTTTTTGTCTGATCATGGCCTATTAAACATGGTTTCATTAATGAATCTACGATAAATTGAAGAGAACGATGCACCAATCAGATTTGAGATAAAAGGTCTCAGATTTTGGCACGAAATTCATTCATCCATTTGAATAAATACAGTCAATTCCTGATGACCCCAATCCCCAAATCTAGTTCCTTAACCTAAACATCAACTGTAAACCATGATTCTAATTTTTCATACTGGTTTATAATCCTCATTCAATCCTCGTTACTAGGTTGGTATTTTCAAGGTTGTTATAACGTCACTCAAATGTCGTCCATAAATTATAGTCTCACCAAGAAAACTCTAGTTTCAGTCAATCATTATTACTCTTGACTATCATTATTATTACTGATAAGCTAATTGCTAAAGAAAATCATTCAATTACAGATATGAATGGTGCATGTTGCCTTCCTGAAGTTCTAGTGAGAAGCCGTTACCAGTGGAGTTCATTCAGGTCTGTTGTGAGATATCAAGACAATGGTGTACGCTGGTGCAACTTCGTGGATTGATTGGAGTTAAACATCAACACCGTTGGATTTCGGCCAGCTCAGTGGTCTAATGGCTAAGCCTTCGCACGCGAGACTGTTAGGTGATGGGTTCGAATCTCCCGAGGCAAGGTCTTGAATGCGCACTGCTGAGGAGTCCTACAATAGGATGAAACAGCCGTCCAGTGCTACCAGGTTTTCCATGGTGGTCTAGCTTCAATTGATTCATGATTTTGACCATTGAAAACTGGAAGTAACAACTTTTTTTCTCCAATTTTCTCCTTCCTTTAACTTTTGACTCTAGTTCTATGATTTAAGATTTTGAAAGGCTATAAATAAACTACGAAGTCATTCAACTGAAAAGAACGTTCCAATCAACTTCTTATATTTTTGATTGTTTTAATCCATAAAATGGATTTCTTTAGTGGATATCAACAATTGACTAGCTGAAATGAACTCTGTTCAGAATGATATTTGAATAAACGCCGTAAAAATAATGTTTATGATTTGTGAAATTATTTAAGCTACTCTATATATGTTCTGTTATAAAATATTTTTCAAATCTTCGCAATTGAATTCACGGGTCAATTGAAGCTAGACCAACATAAAAAACCTGGAAGCGATGGACGGCCGTTTCGTCCTATTGTGGGACTCCTCAACAGTGTGCATCAACGACCCCGCCTCGCGGGATTGGAACCCAGTACCCATCGGTTTCGCGCCAGGCGCTTAACCAACTAGACCACTGAGCAGGCTGAGGAGTCCCACAATAGGACGAAACGGCCTTCCAGTACTAATAATACTTGGAAATGCATCATGCAAAGTCAAAGTGTAATTTAGCATAATAATTTGGATTTATTCTATTCAAGTTCACCTATTTCTTGGTATTTTACAAATTGTGAGACTTTATATAACTCTAACTTAGAAATCATTGAATTTTTGAATGAACACTATGAAAGAGTTTAAAATTACTAGAAAAGAGTAGTTCAGTGTGGCGTATATTTCAGTAGGTCTATGAAGAAGTGACTATTGAAATGTTAACTTTCTCTACAAACCAATTAGTTTAATGATAGAAAACTATCTAATGAGTCAAAATGTGATCTTCATTATTACAAATAGTATCAAAATACACTAGATTAGTCAATGGTCTCATCTAAGATTGAGCGTAAGACTTTAAAGGATCACAATGAGTATTTAACATTCAAACTATTGGATTAGCAATTATTCAATTGATTGTGCAACTAAGATCAGTTTGAAATGGTAAACTAAAAAACATCCTATTGCCAAATATATAATTGAAACAGGTTGTAAGATTGATCATAAGTCAGCTTTTGTGGTGTTGTACAAAACTGTAAAGGGGGCGTATATTAAGGTGCATTGAAGCATTAGCCCCCCTCTTTGCAATAAAAAAACCCAGTTTGTTGTCACCTTAACCCTACCCTGATAATATTAGCTTCTTATTATTATTATTGAATAAGTGACCAGGTTTCAAATTGTTTTCACATTACTTCTTTATTATCCTTTGTAGTGACTCACATTTATCACGAGAACACGACTGGTTTAATAAAACCAATTATTATTATAACCAACTGTACCAGTGTTTGTTTTAACGTGCTTTTGTTTGACTGTGCTAATGACAGCTATATTGTGCTTCCATTCTGATTCTTACACTTTGATTGTGACTTCGCGCGAATTCGGTTACATTCTGTAACCAAGCTTGTATCCTGGCACGATCTCGGTATCCTTTCGATACCACGAGATCGCCAGCAAATATATCTCGACTTGGTCCATTAACTGCCTTCTAATATTTGGCTTCTCGGGGATTTTATGGATTTATTTGGCTACGTTCAACGTTCGCCTTCTGATTTATTTGGCACGTGTTTCTTTGTAGTGGTGTTCATAGTTAATCCCAACTCGACGCCACGCTACAACTGATGAGCCCGACGTGATCGAGACTGCCGTCTCACGTTCCGGTCGCCGAATACGGTTGCCCGTACGCTTCCGCGACTAGTCGCACAGTCAACAACCGATACGGTGTAGGACTATTCCTATGCTACACGCATGCTACACTCTTCTCTTTTTTGATTTTCTTTTTGTTTCCTGAGCCCACGCCTTCGACCACCTCCGTTTGGTTCCGTCGACTTCAGTCAACTTTGGCGGAAGCTGGCCTGATCACCCACGCTGTTGTCAACGCACTCAGTCGATATATTGGTTTCGAATGTTCGGCATACGCTTGGTCTCGAACTTGGTCGTTATGGTCACTACTCCTTGTCTCCTCTTACCTTCTATTTCTAGTCTACTTGAATTAACAAGTATAAAATGTGTAATCAGATTGTTCAAAATGTATTGCCCTAATCATATAGTTCTGATAATCTTCGCCTTCTTATTACACTATAGAAAATTATTTTCTAGACTATTTATCTCGTGTCGATAAAAGAAGATGGTGAGAATATAATTTATGAACGACATTTGAGTTACGTTATAACAACCTTGAAAATACCCACCTAGTAACGAGGATTGAATGAAGGTTATGAACCAGTATGAAGAACCAAAATCATGATTTACAGTTAATAGTTAGAGTTGGGAACTAGATTTGGAGTGCAGGGGGAGGGCATCACGAACTGACATGAGTTTTAATGCCAAGACTATATTTATTCAAATGGATGAAAGAATTTCAGGTCCATAAATTCTAGTTTTTTTCTTCAAAATATCATTATAATATAGATTAATTATAAAAATAACTGAACTTACTTTAAAGAAACCTTTACATCCTTCACATGTTCTTACACCATAATGTTGACATGCTGCATTATCACCACAAACTAAACATAATTGATGACAATCTGTTTCATTCATTGATATAGAATTGATATCATTTAAATTATAATTAGAAACTTTTGATAATCTAGAATTATTTGGGCTAAATGATATCATTGATGGTGTAGATGTAGAAGATAATAATAAAGTAGACGATAATGATGTTGATGATGTTGTGGAATGTGTTGATGACGATGACAAGGATGATGACGTCGATGACGATGACGATGATGATGATGATGATGATGATGATGATGATGATGACGATGATGATGATGATGATAATAGTAATAATGGACTGATACATGTATTATGTTCATTATATAATTTTAGATTCTTTTCATCGAATGTATCTATTCCATTCATAAAACAATGATATGAATGTAAATAGGAATCGGTATTCGATTTATTCATGAATGTATCATTGAATAAAATTGGTTCATTCATATAATGATTAGATCTATTATTCAATAAGATTGTTGATGAATTATGATATAATTGATTCTTATTATCATTATCATTTAGATCTAATGGATTATATGGACATTTATGTTGAAATCTTTTTGTCATTGTATTCATATTACATAATTTCATATTAGAATCAATGAAATTCTTATCTTTTATTGTTGTTACTAAACAATGATCTTTACAATCATGAATACAATTTGGTGTATTAGATGTTGGTAAATGTATAAAAGGATCAAATCTATTCAAACATAATTCATCATTATGATTAGTAGTAGTACTAGTAGTCGTAGTCGTAGTCGTAGTCGTAGTAGTAGTAGCAGTATCTTCAATAGGGAGTATAATATCATTATTTAATATTGAATGAATAGATGAATGATTAATCATAGTATTTTCATTTGTAATGATTGTATTCATTCTATTCATTTCATTGGTTTGATTGATTTCATTCATTCCATTCATTTCATTGGTTCGATTGATTTCATTCATTCCATTCATTTCATTGGTTCGATTGATTTCATTAGTTTCATTAAAGAATTCATTAAATTCATTAAAATGAGATAGTTTTGTTAAATGATTATTATTATTATTAGTAGTATTATGATTATGATTAAAATATTTAACGATTAATGCTTGTTGTGCAGCTAAATATTTTGAATTCATTTTTAATTTATCATTAATATCTGTTGAAGGTAATATATTCGATGATAAATAAGTTAATGGATTTATATTAAAATAATCTAATGTTGTATTATTATTATTATTACTATTCAATTTAGATAATGATTGTTGTTGTTGTTGTTGTGATGGTGGTGGTGGTGGTGGTGCTGATTGGTGTTGGTGTTGTTGCTGTGGTGGTGGTGGCAGGTGTTGTAATTCTTCATTACATGTATTCCTTATAGTTAACTTATGATGTTGATGATGCTGATGATGAGGATGATGAGGATCAGGAGGAGGTGGAGGAGGAGGAGGAGGAGGAGGAGGAGAAGGAGAAGGATGATATTCATCATTTGTACATGATATATATCTATGTGTCATTGGATGATTACAATAATCAAAAGTAATTGAATTAAAATGATCTATAGGATTAATAGGATTTAATTGTTCTGTAGAATAAATTGAATATTCATTATTATTATTATTTATTTTATCTATATTGTTTATTAATGTAATCGTTTCATCATTTTTATGATTGATTGATTTCTCTATTGATTTATTATGATTATGATTATGATTATCATAATAATCGAATTGTATTGATTTTTGTGGTATACAGGATGATGATGATGCTGATGATGATGATGATGTCATATTATTGATTATTGGAAAATGTTCAATCGAATTAATTGATGTATTATATAAATAATCATGATGTTGATGAATCGTTTGTTTATTTAAATCAATATTTGATGATAAATAACATGGTAATGAATCATTATATTGATTGAATAAATGATCATTATCGATTAAATGAGAATTAGTGATAAATTGTAATTCATTATTTAATGGAGATGATTTAATAGAATAAGCAATAAACTGATGATCATGATTATTATTATTATTATTATTATTATATAAATCAATAGATTGTTTAGAATATTCTCTCATTAATTTCAATGATTCTTTTTCATAGATTGATGTTTCATCATTCATGATATAAGATGAATAAGTACCATCAATTTTACGTTTTAAACGTGATGATTTCAATGATGATAAAGATGGATTTTTCTTTAAACTACTACTACTACTAATAGTAGTAGTAGTAGTAGTAGTAGTTGTTGTTGTTGTTGTTGTAGTTGTACACGTTTCATGATCTTGTATACTTTTAATATTATCATCTTTATTCATCCAATTAGTATGATTATTATCATTATTATTATATGAAACAATTGACGAGGAAGGATAATTTGATGACGAAATCATTTTCTCTTGTTCATATTTATTCTCATATGAATTCATAATGTGCTTTTTTATAATTTCTTCCTTTGGCATTATAGTATTATGATTATGATTATGATAATTCTTTGAAGATTCTATTAAATCATGTTTATGTAAAACATTTTTATTCGTTGTTAAATGTCGAACTTTTTCAAACGATGTTTCTTCTTGAAGAAAATAATTTCGAACATCTTTATCATTAAATGATAAAGATGAAGAAGAGGATGAGAATGAGAATGAGGAGGAGGAGGAGGACGATGACGACGACGAGGATGAGGATGTTGCTGATGATGATGATGATGATGATGATGTAACTGGATGCAATTTATTTACATTCAATTGATCAAATTCATGATTATCTAAATTAAACATTTTTGATAAATTCAATGTATCATTTGTATAATTCGTTGATAAAATCAATGAATGATCATCATATTTAGTTAATAATGGATTATATAAATAATCAGTATTACAATGATTATGTAATATTGGATACCATTTAGATGAATTGAATGAATTCGTTTTATGCTGAATGAGATCTGTATTATTCAATGATGTAATAATATTGAATGTTGAAGGTATAATAATATCACAATTAGATAATTCATGAGTATTATAACAATCAGATTGATTGTATAATACATCATGATTATGATGATCATGATTATTTAATTTAGTTACCAAGTCATTTAAACCTTTAGTGAGACAATTAGGTAATAAAGTTGAATGAGTTTCTTCTTCTACTATATTACATTCTGTTGAATAGGATAGTTTAGGATCATTCAATTCGATATTATTATTATTATGTAATATCTGCTCAGTATAATGTGTTATATCATCAGTATTAAGTTTATCATAATGATCTTGTTTAGATGATAATTTTAATGACCATTCAGGAAATAATCCATTTGTATCTATATGATCTGATTCATCAATATGTCCTATTGTATTATAATATGAATTATTCGAAGATATAGATGATAGATGTGAATCATTTATATCACATGAATGTATCATTAATGCTGTATTAGATGTTTCATGTAATGAATGGAATGTAATTGGTATAGCCATTTAATATTCATCACTAAATAGAAATTTATTAAGGAGAAATTTTAAAAAATATATATATATTACTGTTAATTAGTAGTAGAAACAGATCTCAATCAAAAACTTAATAATCTCCACAACCCTTATACTAGTAATCAACATATGCTCATTAGTGACTAGCTTCGCGAGGGAATTTCCGGAGTTCTGGTGAGATGCCGTGACCACTGGAGTTAATCCATGTCGAGTAGAGACAGGTATCTACCTCAGTACAACGGAAATTGGTCGCGCGATTTCGTGGATTGGTTGATGTTAGACACTATCAGCATTGGATGCCGGCTAAATGGTCCAGTTGGTTATGCGTTCGCACGCGAGACCGAAGGCCCTGGGTTAGAATCCCGCGAGCGGGATCGTGGATGCACACTGATGAAGCGTCCCATACTAGAACGAAACAGCCGTCCAGTGCTTCCAGATTTTCAATGGTGGTCGAATATGAATCGGTTCATGATCTCAATCAAAAAATACTTTCAATGTACTTCATTCAATTATTATCTATTGTCAATTTAACATATGATTGAAGCTAGCCAGTGTGAAATCTAAATCCAAACTTCTTGTTTACTGTATTCGTTATCAAGGTTTAGCAAAAATCTTCAGGCAACTAGCATTCATGTGAGATTGCAACTCGAGTTAAAAAGTATCACTGTCACTGAGGTCACTCTTAAAGTAATTGGGTTTTAATTGATCTCTTGCAGCGCAACATATAACTTATAACTTGTTATGTAACTCTTTTAACTGATAATTTCATGGGCATTTAAAACGAAATATGTCGAAACGGACGTTTAGTGCTTCTAGGTTTTCAATTGTGGTGGTCTAACATCAATCGGTTCATGATCTCAATCAAAAACTTAGTAATCTCCACAACCCCCATACTAGTAAACAGATATGAAGAGAATAAATAACTACTGGAAAGAGATGGAAAGGATCGCCGAGGACAAGATTGGATAGAGAATGTTGATGAGAGGTCTATACTCCTTCACGAGGAGTACTAGGTGTATGTAAATAAAGTATTAAGAATTTATTATTTCTAAGCTATAATAAGTTATTTAATTTAAACGTATATCAATTCTTCTTTCAAATGATTGTGTTTGTTTGTTTACATTTTTCTACCACGTTTTTACTTAGGACTGTTACTTCTTATGGAGGAGAATAGGCCGTTCATCAGCATTCTCCATTTAACTTTGTCTTGGATAATACTTTCTAGTTACTATTTTATCCTTTTCATCATATCTGCTTCCAACTCTCGATGCAGTATGTTCTTTGGTCTTTCTCTTTTTCGTTTCCATTCAAGATTTCAAGTGAGCGCTTGCTTTGTGATGCAGTTTGATGATTTCCTCAACATGTGTTCCATCCACTTACAACGTCTTTTCGTAGTTTCCTATTCAGCTGGAAATTGGTTTGTTCTCTCCTACAGCAGACTATTGGTATCCGGGTTTGTTTACGTAGTTTTGTGAAATACACATAAAATTTTTACCTTCAAGTGAAAATATTGTATACCGTTTACCTATACGTATCAACTGGATCCAACGATAGATGTACATTGAATCACTTATGTATTTAGGGAATATCATTAAAACCTAATAAATGAATATTAACTTAATAGTTAAAATCATGAGTCAATTGAATCTAGACCACCATGAAAAACTTGAAAACACTGAAAGACTGTTTCGTTCTAGTATGAGACTCTTCAACAGTAAGCATTTACGATCCCGTCCCTCAAGATTTGAACCCAGTGCCTATCGGTTTCGTGCATGAACGCTTAACGTCTAGAATACTGAGCTGGCATCCAATGGTATTAATTTCTACCTTTAGGTACTCTACGAAATTGAGGTACAATCCACCATTGTCTTTGGTGAGTTACGATCTCACAATAGACCTGGTTGAACTCCACTAGTCACTGTTTCTCACTACAACTCAAGGAAATACCTCTTGAAGTCAATAACTAGGGAGCATATGCTGATTCATATCAGAAAACGTTTTTGTGGATACTATAGTAGCTTTACTAGTTGAAATCATGCGTCGATTGAAGCTAGATTACCACTTAATATTAGTAAGTAATACATTTCTATTTATTTCATCAAAACCGCCTGAATAAACGAAGTACTCAGTGTATTCTTAGTATTCCAATCTAATCATGATAATCAGGAATTAGCAAGACAGGCTGTCTTCGATTCGTAATAAGTGTATATTTACATAATAATTATGGTATAATCACAATTCAAGAAACTTGGTTAAATAGCAATCATTCTTTGTTCTCTTTCTCTTTTCTTTGATCTTCATTAACATTCTGCCACCAGACATTCCACTTTTGATTGATGATGCATACTACTTACATCTGTTGACATCAGTAGCACACCATACAATTTGACTGACTTATGGGAAGTTCAATTTCTGGTTAATAAAATAATTAAATGTTTAATTACTATACAAATAAACGCGTTCGCCCGCGGGACCGAAGACTCTGGGTTCGAATCTCGAAAGCGGGATCGTGTATGCGCAGTGTTGAGGATTCCAGCAATAGGACGAAACGGCCGTCCAGTGCTTTCAGGTTTTCAATTGTGGTGGTCTAACATCAATCGATTCATGATCTCAATCAAAAACTTTGTAATCGCCACAACCCCTATACTAGTAAACATGAATAATTCGATTTCGTGTATAAGACAAATATCAACCTAGAATTAAATATTGTTTTGTAAAGAAACAACTCCATAACAATCGTCTTCTTCCGTTTATGAACCGTTTAGATGATACAATCATTAGAAATGTATTTAAACTCTTAAAATCTTCGTTGTCAAGATTCAAGACTGAATTTGATCAATCTTCGGAGGATATCCTGATTAAATAGCTAAGTGGATAACCAACTATAGTTCAAATCGATGGACACTTATATGACATGACAGTCTAAGTAATAATTTTACAATGTACGTCTACGTAACCGAAAATGAAAATCTAATGTTCGATTACATTGCTGTCTAATACTGAATTATATAATCAATGGAAATGTCTTTCACTTTTAAAAAAAATATTCTGGTAAATAAAAATCGATTAATCGTTCTTATCATAGTTAACTATCATGATTGATTTCTGTTAAATAAGAATACAGTTTGACTTCTTAAAGTGCTGGCAGCATCACTAATGAACACGGTGGGTTTGATGCAGATTTGAATGCGTGAATCGGCAAAGCATATCTACAAGTGAACAACAAAAGAAACTCAAAACAACTGTCCACAATCCAATACCAAGGTGAGAATCTTCAATACAAATGTCAAGACAGTTCTGCTGTATGGGGCGGAAACATGGAGAACTACGAAAGTCATCATCCAGAAGAAACAAGTGTTTATTAACAGTTGTCTACGCAAAATACTTCGGGTCTCTTGGACAGACACTATTAGCAACAACCAACTGTTGGAGAGAACAAACCAGATCTCAATGGAGGAAGAAATTATGAAGAAGCGCTGGAACTGGATAGGACACATATTGAGGAAAGCACTCAACTGTGTCACAAGGTAAGCCCTCACATGGAATCCTCAAAACCAAAGGGGGGGGAAGGGAAGACTAAAGAACACATTACATCGATAAATGGAGACAGACATGAGGAAAATTGACAAAAATTTAGTAGAACTGGAAAGGAAGGTCCAAAATATAATGGGTTGGAGAGTGCTGGTCTGCGGCCTATGCCTTATTGGGAGAAGGTAGAATCAGATTCAATAATAAGTAACTAAAGGTGATACAGTAAGGTAAATGACTGATAAACGTTATTCCATTATCTGTTCTTAATTAACTCTCAAGAGATAGTATAGAACCATGGACCAAAACAATATTTAACCGTACAGATATAGAAATTAAACGTTACAATTTGTTAACATCCTTGTTAAATGAATTTAATCGGGATTGTGATATTATTGTGACAGCAATTAACATTTCCTCTGATAAGTGTTAAGTTTGATTATCAATGTGACTACCTACTATCTGGTTAACCAAATAGTAACAATAACAAAACTGTAACGTGTAACTCAAAACTGAGTATGAGAATATCATACTGAGTAAATGAATTAAATCATTGTCAAATCAACTTTACTAGTAATTAAAAACATTTGTTATACAACAAATAGGAACAATGATATTTATTTTGATTCAGATCATGAACCGATTGATGTTAGACCACCACAACTGGAAACCTGGAATCACTGGACGGCCGTTCCGTCCTATTATGGAACCCCAAAGCAGTGCGCACCAACGATCCCGCTCGCGGGATTCGAACCCAAGGCCTTCGGTCTCGCGTGCGAACGCCTAACCAACTGGACCACTGAGCCGGCATCCAAGGGTGATAGTTTCTAAAAGTTAGGCGTTCTGGGTTCAAGGTTTGAATCTTGAGAGGCGGTATTGTGGATTCGCACTGCCGAGAAGTCCCACAATAGAACAAAACGACCGTTCATTGCTTTTAGGTTTTCCATGATGGTCTATCTTCAACTGACTCATGATCTCAACTATTGAAAGCATTATAATATCCAAAAATCTCCTTCTGATATTGATATTTATCTATTTCATGGTAATACTCATCACTAACTAATATCAATGAACAAATCATTAATAAAACAATTGAGACTGTGATATTTGAACATGACATAGTGCTCTTCATTTACTTAAACTGTACATTCGTACTTATACTTGCTTGGTAAATGTAATGTTTATAGAAAGATGATTCGAGATTTCATATATCAAAAGAGATTACGTAATAGTCAAGTGGGTTACATATACTTATCAGAAATGGCTATCCGCCTAGAATCGTCGATAGAAACTTAACATTAAGCAATATCGTGAAGAAAGTATTGACAGTTCAAAAGAAAACTGTTTTAATGAATAACATCGAGGTGCTTAGAACAAGCTTTGAAACGCATATGGAGAAATTCAAACACTTCACTTCTATTTGAAGTTTGTACTGATGATGTCGTTCAGAAGGACGATGAAAGCTCCACGATCAAACCATCCAGTTCAGAGAACAAAACTCCACCAAAATAATGAATAACATGTTTAAAGACGATACAGCTGCTGAAATGTTGAATAAACTGATTTGAAAATCCCTGAATAACAAATACGTTCTATTCAGATAACACTCGTATTGTCTTCTCAAGTCAGCCTATAATTCATGGATGTCTTAGGCATAAACTTTCACTTTGGGTCATATCGATATGCATCTATAAATTTACTTGCGTCTTATGGGACAGATTTACTGGTTGTACAAATCGATCACTTTCTAAACGTATCTCAGAACATTATCTGACGTCGCTTTTAATAGGAGAATCCCAAACAATCACCGCTTTAATACAGGAACATCTGATCAACTCTGGATAACATATACAATCAAAGGAACTAGATCGAAGTTAGAGTGGATCAAAAAAACCTATTCGTTGCTGAGTCATTGACGATCTAGCAATTCAAGTCCGAACTCTGAGCACAAAAAATGATCCATCCAACCTTTTATCCTTCCATGGCTTTATTTCCCTTCTGAAGTACATTTTGATCTTGTTTTGTTTTAATAGTTCTAAACTGTATTCAGTTATTATTATCCTTTAGCAATTTTTCATGATGACTATTCAATTGTTATTATGACATTTACTATCTTCATTTTTTCTTCAAACCTACCCTTCTATTCTTCTTTAACCCACTGACTATAACATGATGAATCAGTAGCTTAAGTGTTCGCGCCAAGAGACTGAAGGCACTTTGGTTCGAATCCCATGAGCGGGATCGTGGATGCGCACTGCTGATCAGTCCCACAATAGGACGAAACGTCCATCCAATGCTTCCAGTTTTTCAATGGTGGTCTAACATCAATCGGTTCATGAAATCAATCAAAAATACTTTAGTGTCTTGAATTGTCTTAATGAAGGTCCATAGAAACAAATCAAGTCCAAGGTATATGAATTACCATAAAAAATTAACTTTTTCTTAGAGAATAATTCAGAAAACGTTGGTTTTAAATATTATATGACATAACTTTACCGTATCAGTTGACAGTAAGCTGAAGGAAATAACTAAATCCAAAACTATGTTGATACACTGATTTCATGTTGAAAGAAATGTCTTTGAATCATTTCAATATACTTCTGTGAAGTTTTCAATGACTTTCTATGATAGATCTACCCAAAGATACTAGTTACTAATTGTTTACAGTCAATTAATATAAAGCATAATAGATCACAATCTTAAATCAATCAGGCTTACAAACTTGAGGATTCTTATGAGGAATGTTGAAGCTATTGATCTCAAACATCTCTTGTCACTCACTATACCACAAATTCAGATCAAATAGTTACTAAGACTATAGATTTTCAACTTAACTAATAGTGTGACTATAGAATATTCTTTAAGATCAATATTTGTGTATGTAAATTCTAGAAGTCTGTAAAAAGAATAAAAACACTATCTGTTCTCCATGGGACTGAATATTATATGCATGACACGTTGATGATACTTTTGTTTCGTATGGTGACATGAATGTTGCTAACAAGTTACATGAAACTTTCAATAAAGCTTGTCCTAATAATAAATTTACAATGAGATATATATAAAAAAAGGAGGTATTTCTCGAAGAATTCTTGTAACCTATTAAAGATATATACATTAGAAAGTAACCTGAATGGAATAACACTTAAACTCTCATACCTTTTCCCTGTAAGTCATAAATAAAGTCCAATCAAAACATTCGAGCACAGCAAGAATGTACAATTGTAATTGACTATCTCCTAGGAAATAAATCCATTCAATTATTTATCAGGTACTATGGTACCAAATACCAAAGTAATATGGCATATGCCTTTGCAGTTCGATAGTAAGCCTTCTATTCAATAGAAGGTACAATGTGAACAAAGTGAGTTCATTCAAAGTCATTAATAGACAGTTTAATTAAACGTTATTAAGCTTTGAGAAAGTCATAGAAATTATGAACTTCTAATCTGATCTTTATATTCGTAAAGAGTCACAAGTTAGCCTTCGACTTTTTGTTATACCATGCAATAATAATAATACCATGAATATTCTAAAACTATCATCAAAAGCATAAAGGCGAGGATTGGCAAAGCAAAGACCGAATTCCAACTTATAGAACTCAAAACAACTGTCAACCAATATCAAGATCACAATCTTCAATACGAATATATCAAAACAGTTCTACTATACAGAGCTGAAACGTGAAAAACTACTATAACCATCATCAAAAAGGTACAAGTATTTATAAACAGTTGTCTACATAAGATACTAAAAATTCTTTGACCGAATACGATCAGCAACAGCCTACTGTGGAAGAGAACAAACTAGTTTCCAGCTGAAGAGGAAATTAGGAAAAGATATTGGAAGTAGATAGGATGTACATTACGAAAATCACTAAACTGCATCACAAGGCAAATGCTCATTTGGATTCCTGAATAGGAACGGAAGGAGGGAAGGCTAAAGAACACACTTCGTCGGAAACTGGGAACAGATATGAAAAGAATAAATTGCAATTGAAAAGGACTGTTCATGACAGAGTTCGATGGAGAGTATTGGTGTCCATAAAGGGTAATAGGCGTTAGTAAGTAAGTACGTTAATTAAATAAATAGGACAACATATTTCAATGTCTATGTAATGGCCAGTTTTATTTCCAATTATCTTCATCAGAAACATTGAATAATACTAAACTATCTTCTGTATTGAATCCATAATAGTATACATAGGTCTATGAATGATTAGATCAAGTCTGTAAGTCCTCAGTCAATCATTGTGAATGCCAAAAGTAAACATTTAAACTTATGACATATATCCCATCTTACAATTTACTTTCATGATTTTAGTATTCTATCTTATTTTCATATTTCATTTAAACACAATCTTATTTACCTTAATTCATTCTAGTCTGACCTTCTTTAATAATAACTCACTAATCTATTTACATTCACAAACTACTAACTGAGATGATATCATTCAGAAAAACGACGAAAACTCCTCGACCACACCATCCGGGTCAGAGAATAAAACTCCATCAAAATCATCCATCTGAGCTACAAATCTTCTCCACCATCTCAGAATATTTTATATAAATAATGTGAATGAGGTGAGTATTTACAATTCATCAATTGATATACTACTAATAATATCATCAATGATTGAGATCATGATCCATTTGATGTTAGATCATCATCGAAAACCTGGAAGCACTAGACGACCATTTTGTCCTATTGTAAGACTCCTCTAATAATATCCACTTACTGATTAGATACTTACTTACGCCTATTACTCCTCGTGAAGGAGCATATGCCGTTCACCAGCATTCTCTATCCAACCCTATCCTCGACAATCCTTTCCAACTCTTCCCAGTTGTTATTGCTTAGATATCTAAGTAGTATTTATAAAGTTTCATAAATTATCTAATATAATATATAAGTAACCATTCAGAATATAAGTATACTACCAAAATAAGTCTTACTAAATCCATTATTAAAACTTACATTAATTTCTCTTGACAAATGATGTTGTCTTTTGAATTCATCTAAATACATAAATCCAATCAAGTTCTTAATCAGTTCTTTTGATTTATCATAGTCAATATGTATAATGTGTATCTGCTGAAAGTTATCATACATTACTTATAATGTTAATAGTAGTATTGATTATATTCAATTAAGATGAGAAAAGACTTGAATAATTAGTATCCATGTGTACCTTTGAGTAAATATATCTGTATGTGTAAGTGCGTGTTTGTGTGTGTGTGTGTGTGGTAATGAGTTTATGTCTTGAGTATGATTTACCAACAGTTGAATTGAACACAATGAATATGTATTCGTGAAATCCTGATGTTTAAACTAAAACTTTCACTCTGTATCCAATGTTTGTAATATAGAAAATACCTATGAATAAACGAACTAGAAACCTATAGATTATCAACAACAACGAAAAAGCACAGATACCAAAGTTTGTATATTAATTTAATAATGATTATTAAGAGGGGAGAATACATGTAAAACTATATATACATACTAAAAGAAAAAGAAAAGAACCTTGAATTGTGCACAATGTATATTTATATATATTTCATACTATGCCTGTATTTCATTTTTGCGATCACCTTCGTCGTCATCATTATTACCAAGCCAATAACAGTAACAGTAACAGTAACAACAACAATAACAACAACCGTAACCATATCGTCTTTAACATAGATCTCTAACACTTAATATCTATGTATGCCTATGCTAAGGTAAAAGAAAGTTTAATCGACCCTCTTCTATGATACAGATTACCACCCTATTGTAAAAATTGACCGAAAAATACCAAGATATTATTAGTTAAACTAAGGGAAATTGCACCCACGTATTTATCAAATTCTTTAAGCCTACATATATATATGTTTGTTATCTTAGTATGAAACGAGTATTTATCAGCACACTATTAATAAATGTATGTACATATATATATAGTACATAAGGTGCTTTTTTGTTGTATCCATGTATGTTTATAAAACTACCAACCCGATTGCTTATCCATAGATTTGATCTTGTTGCGTATGAATAAGGTTTTTTTTCCCTTATTTTAGGGGAAATATAAATGTTGTTTCCAAAAAAAAAGAATGGTGTTTTATGCGTCACAATTATAATCATGAATATAAACACTATTATACTACTAACTTTAAAGTAATAAGAAGTATTACATAATATTTGTAGTAAGAGTTACAATGTTCATGAATGATAATTATCAATATCATGAAAATATAAGATAGTTAATCAGTGAGTTCAATCAAGTCTGTTGGTGTTGTTGTTGAGTCAACTTCCAAGAACTACAACCGAGGCTCCAGAGGCCCTAAAAGTGTCGAAGTGTTTCCAGCCAATCACAATATGATAGAGCTTTCTAAAATATCAACATGGTATGCTACTATTGGTCAGTAGTATAATATGTCTCTTAGCGGATTGGTCAAAATATAATGTTGATTTAACAAATGCTACTATCTATAAATATTCGTGATTTAATTGGGATCTGGACCCAAGCATTTGATTCACAAGTTATAACAGTTGTGAAATAGTAACTCATTGAAGATAATGATGGATGATGGTTCAATTTCGTGGATTGGTTGAAGTTAAACATTAACACTGTTGAATACTGGCTCAGTGGTATAGAGGTTAAGTGTTCACGCGTGAGACTAAGGGGTCATGGGTTTGAATCTTACGAGGCGGGATCGTGGGTACGCATTACTGAGGAGTCCCACAATAGGATGAAACGGCTGTCCGGTGCTTCTAGGTAGTCTAGCTTCAATTGACTCATAAAATCAACTAATAAACTACTATAATATTAAAAAAAAACCTGCTCTGATAGAAATTCTGATTTGTATCAAAGAATACTTAAGTTACATAAAATGATTATACGGGACTTGAAATTCTATGATATAAACAAAAGATCTCAGTGCAATTACTATACAATAATCATGCAACTGATAGCTTCTTCAACTATAAACGAAGACAATAAGCTAAACTGATTCATATTTTGGTAAATTTTACTGAAATTAATTGTAATGAATATTAATTATTCGAACAATATGTAGAATAATATATCACCAATGAACACTTATTTATACCCATCTACAAACACTGAAATAAAGAAAACGGTATCCATTAGAGATATATTCGAGCTGAATAAGTGTTATTCAGTTAAATCCATTTGTATATCTTCTTAGATCTTACGCCTGTTACTCCTAATGGAGCATAGGCCGCCGACCAGGATTCTACAACCCACTATGTCCTGGGCCTTCTTTTCTACTTCCATCCAATTCTTGTTCATTCTCCTCATGTCTGTCTCCATTTCTCGGAGTAATGTGTTCTTTGGTCTTCCTCTCCTCCTCCTTTGGCCTTGAGGATTCCATGTGAGGGCTTGCCTTGTGACGCAGTTGGGTGCTTTCCTCAATGTTTGTCCTATCCACTTCCAGCACTTCTTCCTGATTTCTCCCTCCACTGGGATCTGGTTTGTTCTCTTCAACAGTAGGTTATTGCTAATAGTGTCCGACCAACAGATGTGAAGTATTTTCCGTAGACAACTGTTAATAAACACCTGTATCTTCTGGATGATGGTTTTCGTAGTTCTCCACCTGAAGTCCTTCTGGGAGCTACTGCCAGTCCTTAACCCGGGTAAAGGGCACGGAGTTAGCAACCCCATCCCGTAGAAAACTAACTCGCTAAAAAAACTCTAACCAGGAAAAATTATTCAAACCTTTTAAAAGTTATTCATTTGTATATGCTTAATATTTTATTCCTACATTCCTACAACTGAGAAATATATGAAACTGGTAATAACTGTTTCCAAGCCAACTTCGAGATCAAAATCTTCAATACGAATATTAAAACAGTCGTACTGAACGGAGCTGAAAATTGGATATCTACTACAGCCATCATCATAAACGTGCAAGTATTTCTGAACAACTGTATACACAACATATTGAATGTCCGTTGACTGGATAACACCAGCAACAGCGTACTGTGGGAGGGAACAAACTAGCTTTGAGTTGAGAAGGAAATTAGGAAAAGATGATGAAAGTGAATAAGACACATATTGAGAAAATCATCAAACTGCATCACGAGGCAAGCGCTCCGTTAGAATCATGAAGGGATAAGGAAAAGAGGAAGTCCGAATAACTTACTGCCTCGAGAATTGGAAGCAGACATGAAAAGGATGAATGACAAATGGAGAAAACTGAAAAGGATTTTCCAGGGCAGGGTTGGATGGAGGCTGACCTATGCTCTTTTATGAGAGGTGACGGGTGTCGATAAATAAATATTTTATCTAATTAACTCCATTCACCACTGAAATTCGTGTTAAATTAGAAGTGTTATGTATTCCTTACAAAAACTGTTTATATTAAATTCACTTAGTATCGTTTTACTTGAATTTTCCCATTGATGATTAGAACTTCAATTGATGTTATATGTGTATACATCAACTCTGAGATGCAAGTACATCGAACTGTCGAGTCCCAAATAGGAAGAAACGCACGTCAAACTGTATTCCACTGCTAGCTACTATCCGTCTTCGCTCATAATATTCACAGTAAGTTTTAAAACATCAAATACTTAATTTTTCAAGTAAATCCCCAGAAGCGCACATCCACGACACGGGGTTCGAAACCAGGACCAGTCGATCTCACATGCGAACGCTTAACGTCTAGACCAGTGAGCCAGCATACAACTCTGTTAATGTCTAACTTCAACCAATCCATCATTATCTTCAGTGAGTTACTATCTCACTACAACTCCAGGAAATGCCTCTTGAAGTCAGTCACTGGTGAGCATATAATGGTTATAATCAGAGAGGGATTTTATGGGTATTGCAGTAATTTAATAGTTGAGTTCCTGAGTCAATTGAAGCTAGACCACCACAGAAAACCTAGAAGTACTGGACTGCCGTTTCTTCCTAGTATAATATATGACAGTCATTTTAATGTAAATCAAATTATCATCTTAAATTCCTGAACTAATTTATTTCGATTTAGCCTATTCATAATCTTAACATTCCATAGTAGGTCATCTTTATCAAAAATAAACGACTAAACCTTTCACTAGATCAGATGTTACATAAAGTATTGTAAATAATTAAACACACTTGGTATTGTTTACTTGAATCTTCCCATCGTTATTTAGGACTGCAATTGATCAGTCTCTTATTGTCATATGTTCATACTGTGTACATTGCCACAATATTGACTATTAGGACTTAGTAACTAAGTGATTAACGCGATGGTATTTGAAGCGAATGATACTGACTTCGAATCCTAGAATGAACATCAAATCTGACATGCAGATATATTCAACTGACGAGTCCGAAATAAGACGAAACACATGTCAAACTGGATTCCACTGCTAGCCACTATTCATGTTTGCTTAGTATTATAAATAATCTATTGATACTTTCATTGAACTAATCATTATTTATTAAATGGATACAATAAACGCCAGTATTTTTTTTTCTTTATCATAACTAACTGTATATTCATAATTCAATTTGATATGGTATGAATAGTCAGTACTATAGGTATAATTTATCTAAAAGATCGCAAAAAGAAAAAAAAGAAGAAAAAAGAAAAAAACATTCTGAATATGGAATAATACCTTCACTATCTTTTCTTAAAGATAAATCTTAGTCAATCAAATCATATCATGGTTATTTATTACAGGAATTCACATTATTGATATTGAAATGATTGACAAGAAACAAGAAGTATAAACTTGAGGAAACAAAAAGAAAAACAACAACAACAACGACAACAGTTCGAGGTTTCCAAAAATCTCATTTCTCTTTTCTAATGTTATCATTCTATAAATAAAAACCTAAGGGATATATATAAGTATAAGATAGTGATTAGAGGTAGTCGATAAGAAATCCTGGACCTAGGTTTCATACCATTTGGCACTCATCAATAAAGTGTACCTGTAATTTTCAAGGAACTGATACTCCCTGAAGAATTCGTTCTCGTGTCATCCAGCTTCACAATCAGAAACCTTAACACTGGGCTATCCGGGTAATGATCAATGTCATGTATGTCAGGTCCTTCTTAGTGTAGATCAAATTGCCATGTGGCCACTAGTTTAGGTGACTCGATATTGTGT